ACTATCAGCTATCTATGGGTTTTTTATGTCCACTTTCAGCTATCTAAGGGTTCTTTATGCCCATTTTCAGCTAGCTAAGGGTTCCTTATGCCCACTATCAGCTATGTGAGGGTTCGTTATGCTCACTTTTAGCTATCAAGGGGTTCGTTATTCCCACTATCAGCTATCTGAGGGTTCTTTATGCCCACTATCAGCTATCTGAGGGTTCTTTATGCCCACTATCAGCTATCTGAGGGTTCTTTATGCTCACTATCAGCTATCTGAGGGTTCTTTATGCCCCCACTATCAGCTATCTAATGGTTGTTTGCTGGTCATAGTGTGCTTCATTTCTTCTTCCGTCTATAAATTTTTTTATTCTCGTTTTGGTATTTTCTTACTTATTTTAGTGAGTTTCTGACTCTTTGGTGAATTTTCTAATTTCTTTTTGTTTGGAATTCGTATAATTCGATTGATTTTACATCTCCAGCGCTAGACTTTACATCTCCAGCGCTTGACTTTACATCTCCAGCGCTGTACTTTACATTTCCAGCGCTTGACTTTACATCTCCAGCGCTGGACTTTACATTTCCAGCGCTTGACTTTACATCTCCAGCGCTAGACTTTACATCTTCAGCGCTTGACTTTACATCTTCAGCGCTTGACTTTACATCTCCAGCGCTTGATTTTACATCTTCAGCGCTAGACTTTACATCTCCAGCGCTTGATTTTACATCTCCAGCGCTTGACTTTACATCTCCAGCGCTAGACTTTGCATATCTCCAGCGCTAGATTTTACACATCTCCAGCGCTAGACTTTACATCCCCAGCGCTAGACTTTACATCTTCAGCGCTTGACTTTACATCTCCAGCGCTAGACTTTAGATCTCCAGCGCTGGACTTTACATCTCCAGCGCTAGACTTTACATCTTCAGCGCTGGACTTTACATCTCCAGCGCTAGACTTTACATCTCTAGCGCTAGACTTTACATCTCCAGCGCTAGACTTTACACATCTTCAGCGCAGGACTTTAAAAGACACTTTATAATCTGTGTGAGACCAACAGGGCTCCGTAGGTCTTGATAGGGTGTCAGATTACCCCCAAGAACCAGTAAAAAAATCGAATTTTGTTTGTATTTTAAAATATCGAATTAATGTTGCTTTCGAAACTTAATTACGATTTGGTTATTTTGCATTCTTGGGGAACTAAACCATCCGTTGTCTGAAACTTATTTTGAAAAAAAATTTGTAAATCTTAACAGTCAAATTATGATATAAAGTTCAAAGCTAGACATAACTTTTCTTGTTATTAAGAATAAGATGTTACATGGTTATCAACGAGACAACGAGCAAATTCTAAAGGATAAAGACGTGAACAATTAAAGGTGTCGACACTCAGCACAGAAACAAATAACAAAAACACAAAAGACAATAGGAACAGATCCAAGAGTATAATCGCGGTTTCCAAAGCTAGTTCAAAGTCGAATTTCAACTATCAAATTAACCATGTAATCGCAGACTGCCCTTTTGTATTTTTCTGCATTTCTTTATTTATATCTTAATGTTTTGTCATTTGGACTAATTGCAGATCTTTAATACTTACTTACTTACTGCCCATTACGCTCATTGGCGTGTGGGGCAGCAACGAAGTTTCTCCACATTTGTCTGTTTTGTGCCATCTTCTTCAAGCTCCCCCAAGTATGTTGGAAGTATGCCATCTCAGACTCAACTGTGCGCCGCCATGTTATCTTAGGTCGTCCTCTTCGCCTCTTTCCCTCTGGGGTCCAGAACATTGCTGCTTTTGTAAGTTCTTCAGGGCTCTTACGTAGTACATGGCCAATCCATTTCCATCTTCTCCTGCTAATGAGTAAGTTGATCTCTTCCTGTTTGCATTTATTGAGGAGGTCCTGGTTGGTGGTTTTTTGTGGCCAAAATATCCTCAGGATTCTCCTCAGACTCTTGGTATGGAATGTAGAGAGCTTCTGTTGGTCTGCCTCTGTCATTCGCCAACATTCAGAACCATACAACAGGATAGGTAGTATACAACTGTTGTATAGTTTTAGCTTTGTCCGGATGGTGTATTGACCAGATTTCCATACAGGCTGCAGGTTATTAAAAGCAGCTCTAGCTTTTGACAGTCTTTGTTTGATGTCAGTGTTGGCTCCACCGTCTGATCTTACAGTACTTCCTAGGTAAGTGAAGGTATCGGTCTGTGGTAATGGTTTCCCGTTTATTATAATTGGTACTGGGTTGTTAATGTTTAAACTCATTACTTCAGTTTTCTTTGTGTTTATTTTCAGACCTATCTGTCCTGCATACTTTTCTATTCGACTGGACTTTTCCTGGATATGTTGGTGAGTGTGCGATAGCATAGCAATATCGTCAGCAAAGTCCAAATCTTCAAGAATGGTGAAAGTTCCCCATCTTATGCCTCTTGGGATATCTGCAGTTGTTTGTCGCATCACCCAGTCGATGGCTATTATAAATAGTGTAGATGACATTACACATCCTTGTCTTACTCCAGTTTTAATTGGGAAATAAAGTTGTTCATTTCCGACTGTACATTTGAAGTTTTCATAAAAAGCCTTGATTAGATGGATCAGGTGTTGTGGGATACCATAAAGTTGTATGATTTTCCAAAGGCTTTCCTTATGAATACTATCAAATGCTTTTTCGAAGTCGATGAAATTGATGTAGAGTTGCCGCTGCCATTCTGTGCATTGTTCAATGATATTTCTCAGGATGAAAATCTGGTCAACGCAGCCTTTTCCCTTGCGGAATCCTGCTTGCTCCTTTCTTAATGAACTGTCGATTGATTCGGATATTCTTTTTATAATAATTTTGGCCATGATCTTGCTAGGAATAGATATAAGAGTGATTCCACGCCAGTTATTGCAGTCATTTAATGCACCCTTTTTAGGTATTCTGATGATGATACCTTTATCCCATTCTGTTGGTACTTTAACTTCTTTCCAGATGTAATGGAAAATTGGTTGGAGGGTATTGGCCGCTAAGATAGGATCAGTTTTGAACAGTTCTGCATTTAGATTATCTGAACCAGGAGCTTTTCCGTTCTTTAGAGTCTTGATTGCTGTTACAATTTCAGATATGGTGGGTGGTTCAATACTTATTTCCAGTTCAATGTTAGGCTCTGGAATAGTAGGTAGTTCTTTTGGAGATGGTCTGTTCAAAATTTCACTGAAGTGTTCTGCCCATCTTTTTTCTTGTTCATTTTCAGATGTTAGTAAATACCCTGTTTGTCTTTCACTGGGATGTTAGGTGATGACTTGCCTTTTCCACAGATGATTTTGGTAATTTTGTAGAGGTTGCCTTGCTCTCTTTTATTAGCCGCTTCTTCTGCCTGATCTGCTAAATTATCCATAAATCTTCTCTTATCAGCTCTAACCTGGGTTTTGACATTGCGATGTATGTCACTATAATCTTGTTGGTATTTGTCTTTCAATCTTAGTGATTTGGTATCATTGACTTTCTTTTTAGCCTGCCTTCTGATGTTAATCTGGTTCCATGTTTCCGGTGTGATCCAATCTTTTTTCTTTGTCTTTTGCTTATAGCCGATACATTCCTCGCTACATTTAGTGTATATATCTGCTATCTCATTCCACTTCTCATCTAATGTTTCATTTTCATCTCTTACTGAGTTTTCCAATACCTGGTATCTGTTCTGTAACTTTATAGCAAATTCTCTTTTAACCTTGCTATCCTCCAGTTTATCAATATCAAAACGCTTCCTTGAGATCTTTAATAGTTATTGTTAAACTTATTTTGTTGGACTCTGACCGATTTATATTTTGGCGTATTGTAAAGCACCCTTATACTAGGATTGCCAAAGACCGCATATTGACCCCTAGATGGCCACCTGCTTTTTATTACGGGATTTCTGTCTCATAAACGTATATCCAACATTTCCTTTAGTCCATACTAATATAGTCGATGAATAGTCAAGACTGGTAGCAACTAATTCCATAATCCGTTTGACTTCTTTAATTTTTACATGTTCTTAGTACGTTGAATTTAATATAAGATACATAAGAACTTCTCATTATGAATATATATGCGACATTGATATTATTTTATTTCACCCCACTGGTGACAGTGCTACAGAAAAATTGTCACCTTGGTGTTCTTCCGACCGAAAGTAAATCCCTTGCCAAAGTAGGGTGTCCGTTCGGGTTCCGCTGAAAGGTGCACAGAGGTAACCTCTATAAATAGTGCTAATCTGCGTAGTACCATTTCGGGTATGAGGGATCTATAACTTCGAAACCATGTCCGATTAGAATGCGGACGTTGAATCCGATGCTTCGTGTAAAGAGAGTGCCACATTCAGGAACCCTTACAACAACACTTTAAGGGGTTGTTTGGCCTGTTGCAGGGCGAAATATTTGTCCGAATCCATTGTATTTCAGTGGCAGTCCGAAATTATCCGCCCTTCATCACTATTGCATTAATTGTTTTTTGAATGTTTCTCTTCCTGAATACATAAAACGTTAAGCAAACAGTTATCAATCAATCAATCAATCAATCAATCAATCAATCAATCAATCAATCAATCAATCAATCAATCAATCAATCAATCGTATTTCATTTAGTACTCCGTACATCCGTATGATGTTGCAAATAGGCATCTTTTATGAAAAATAAAGGCCGATGAACAATGTCCAGAAATTTTGCATCTACATTCAACTTTTAAAGCCCAAAGAAACAGTTGTAAACAATTGAAATATACAAACTGTGCCATTTTTACCTTTTCTGATCAAGATTGTAATTTCTTTTGTTTAATTTCAACTGGCTATCAGCCTGTATAGACTCGTCTGATGTAGACCTTGATATATTATATAGACACTTGTAGATTGTTGAAGGCTGTATGTTTCCTTCTTAATGTATTTTGGTTATTTTTGTCTAACAGGGTTCATCTGACTTGACCTTATTTTTTGGTCGGTTTTTCTGCTGCTATAAGCAATGTGTTATTTGTGTTTATTGTATAGTGTACATGATTTTGATCTCATTTTCCTGGGTCATTTGTAATGTCAAGTTTATGCGATACCTGTACTAAGACCTTGATCTTTATTAAACCTTTAACATAACATTCAATCATAATCAGTAAAGCAAAGTAGAAGTGACATTTTATCATGTTAACCCTGTTCTTTCTAAATAATTTTTCAGTTTTCTAAACTAGATAATTGTGCAAACACTAAGGTTGCAATACTATAAGGCAAAGTTTATCTTGGATGGTTTTGACTGTTCTGATTAGGCCTGTATCATCTTTGATGATCCTTAACCCCTTTCATGTGCTTGTCTTAAAACTTTTGGTCTAGATGAAAGTTATTCCAGAAATAAAACTGGTATCATTTTTTAGTTAATTTCTTTTGTGCATTATTAATTGATGTATATTAGATCTGCTCTAGATCTGCAGACATTACAAATAAATTGGGATGAGTACAACTTTTAAAAAATTTTCAAAGTTCCAAGGGCTGTAATACCACAAAAACAATCAAATAGAATGAAAAGCATTTAAGAAAAACCATTTCGTAAGTATCAATTGATTCCATGCTATGGACAGGAACCCAGGATGACCTAGCTAGTTGTTTACACTCTTAATAATATTTCTTGACGTTTTCTTTTTAAGCAGTCTAATTGTAAAACGTACTATAAGAATCCTTGGTCTTAAACGATAGTCCCTCTCTGGGGGAAAACATTTTGAAATAAAACCTTCCTCCTTCAAATGGCAAACACAAAATAAAAAAGAAGTAGCAAAAATGTTGATATTCGTTTAAAGCAACCTCTTGATTGTTAAGACATAGTAACACTTATAACATACAGCTTTGATGTTTCTGGGCTTTTCTTGTCACTCGCACATCCAATGTACAAGTCATCATTATTATCAATATCAATACAGAGAGAGTTTAAAATACCAATTGTTTTTAAAGAGAGCTTTTGAATAAACTCCCCCTTACTGTCAATTATATGAAGCATGAAGTTGTGCATGTCTGACACTATCAACTTGCCCTCTTTGGTGACTACTAAATCTGTTGGAGTAAAGCTGTTATCCGTGTCAATCTTTCCTTCATAAATCCACTTAGTAAGACCATCGGGGGACATTGCAATAATTCTTCCGTCTGATTTTTTCGAGGAAAGGTCGATAAAGTAAACGCAACCGTTTTTGTCACTTTTTATTCTTGTTACATCTGTCAACATTTTTTTATCTCCAAATCTTTTAATTTCAATTTTGTCATTAAAGTTGACAATGACTATTTTACGAGCACCTTTGTCGTTCGTTTTGAAGATAGGCCCATTATCTCGCAAACTTACATAGATAACACCTTTCGTACTAATATGTACAGCTCTTGGAAATAATGGCGAAAAGGAACGAAACTGTTCAATTCCATCCTTTGTTGCTATATACGTGTAGCAGTCAAGTTCTATAATCGTGAAAAGAAGATCCCCATTGACAGTCGGCGCCATGTCGTAAATGTTATATTCCCTTTTATCCTCTACTTTTTGTAAAAGCTTTAAATCGGTATGTATGGCGTATTTACGTGTCTCGAATGAGTAACCGCTGCTGAGCCAGATATCTTCGCGTCTACTGTTAACAGTTAGTTTAGAAATACGAGAGATGCCTATTGACAAAGTTTTTTTTATCTTTGTAGATATTTGTACACCACACTGCAGAAACCCAAATAGCTTTGCGATTGTTTCGTTTTTGATGGTAGCGAATTCAAAAGAAGGAAGTCTGGGAAAATCCTCCATCCTTATTTGGGTATCATCATTGACAGTTGAGAGCCATTTTTCAGTTTCTTTCATCGTTTCATGCAATAGCTCTACATCTCGAGCTTTCTTTAATATATCACTTAAACATTCCCGTTTTACTGACGAGTTTTCGATGATTTTTGCAATGTTATTTCTTTTCTCGGTGATGAAATTATCAATTAATGCCATCCTTCCTTCCAGTTCTTCAGTCATTCCTAACTTCTGGATTTTTATTTCTGTGATAAGTTTTTCTTCTTGTGTGGCAATTTTAAATTTTATATCCTTGAAATGTTCTGTAACTTCCATAAAGTATTTTTCTATTTTCTCCGATTCTTTCTGGTAAAACGGTAATATGAAATATTCGATCTGTGCGTCAAATGTTTTTATCTTTTCGATTTTTTTCTTGAGGATTTCTTCTAGTTGTAAGAATTGATGTTTTTGGTGTGACTGAGACAAACATACTGGACATACTAGTTGGTCACAACTTTGACAAAATATGCAGTAGGTCTGGTTGTCGTGAATTCTACATGGAATTCGTTTGAGTTTCATTACAGGAAAAATCATTGTACCAATATCCTTCAATGGTATGATGCTGTGCGTCTCCGCCAATTTAAATTTCGGATGTATTTTATCTGTACAGGTGTCACACATTAATAAATCGCATGCAATGCATTTCCATCTAACGGTACTGTTACTTTCGCATAATTGACAAATTATTAAAGTTTGAGCTTCACTTTGTAATTTTGCATCAGTCATTTTCTTCCTGTTTATCAGTCTTTTTTGTGTGTATAATGCCGAGTTTTCCCTTTCCCTGTTTTTGAATAGAAGGAAGGAAGAGCTTGAGTGGTGTAGGAATTCAAAGGGATATTTTTATATTCAACTAAATTTTGACTAAAATGTCTATTTTCGAAAATTCATATTGATTGCTTCCTTATAACACGGAAATTTACAATTGAATTTTGGGTCCACAAGTCAATTGATATGTCAATTAAATCATTCAACAGAAATAGACTGTGTGAACACAGAAGAATTATACTGCAAAAATGACCGACACAGCTGATAAAAATATGAAATATTGCGAGGTTTGTGAAAGGAACAGTTTTTTAAAATGGAAATGTACAGATTGTAAGTTATCGATGTGCCAGTTGTGTACAGAAAATATTCATACAAAATTTAAACTCGCGGAGACACACAAAATAATTTCACTTACAAGTTTTCACGAACGACTTAACCCCAATCATTGCCATATTCATCGAAATCAATTATATTGTATATTTTGTCAAAGTTGTGACCAGTTAGTTTGTCCAACATGTTTGTCAGAAACCATTCACAACATAGTTTAACAGAGGTTGAGGGAATCGTAATAAAATCTATTACACGGATTAAATCCTTTGTAGAACAAATTCAAAATGATGTAAAACCAATATGCAAGGATACATTGAGTAAAATTCGTCAACTCCAGTCAGAAGAACATTATCGATTCCAGAGCATCATTAGTTCAATAAAGCGGCAAGAAGAAATATTGAGTGTACAAATTAAGCTCCACAAAGAGTTTTTGCTAACTAAAGTGCATCTGGAAGAGACTAAAATCAAAGACATCCTTTTGCAGAAAAAGAATACTTTTACGAATAATATTGATAAAATGCGACAAACGAAAATGTTTATTGACAATACATTGCAAGAACCAGGTGACGTCGATGTCGATTATCTGCAGAGGGAGACTAAAGACATCATGAAATGGTTATCTGCAGAAATGTTGTCGCGTCCCAGTGAGCAAACAAACTTGCCAATGCTTCCGATTTTTGAGTCTATGAATTTGAACAAAAAGGTCGTTTCCAAAATTTTTGGTTTCCAAAACTCAATCTCGGAATTGTCCATATCATTCAATAAATCATTCAGTTTGAGTCTTCCCAGTGTTACTCGAATGAAAATTAGCAAATACACCGAAACTATATATCTATGGATAGTTTGTAATGCTGCTCAGAAAATTGAAAAATATTGCATTCTACCAGATCTAAAACTCGAACAAGATATAAGTGAAAAAAAAGTATATGACATGTCAATTACACCATCAGGAGACTTACTGTTTACTTGTTCTAACGATACATGTTTGTATAAAGCGACTAAGGACGGGACAAGAAAACTAAAGTCGTTTGCACCTTTATTTCCAATAGCAATATTCGTTAATTTGGAAGGTGAAATTCATATTAGCTTAAACGAATATGAGATGAATACAAGACATAGTAAAATAGTTACCCTCGACAGCAGGGATAGAAAAGAAATAAAGCATTATAAAAATGGACATATCAAGGAATGTTTTGTGTGTGTCACGCGTATAGCTGACGATTCTGATAGCATTTATCTTGTTGATGCTTTGCCAGAAAACCTAGAGGGTAGAATAGTGGCAATTACCAAAAAAGACGGGCAACTAAAATGGAAGTTTGATGGACAGGTGGAAAAGAGACATCCGTTTACTCCATCGGATTTTGTGAAAACGAAAGTCGATAGTTTGGTTGTAGCCGACATACGGAACAATCTTATATACATACTTGGAAAAAATGGAGCACTTTTACAAATGATTGACACAACTAAGATTGGCTTGACTCTACCGTGTTGTGTTGATATTGACGAAAGTGGTTTACTCTGGGTTGCATTTATACCAACATGTAAAATTACAAAAACTACAAATATACATGTTTTTCGTTGCGATTTGATAATGTCGCCTTGTCACTGAAATATAATGAGAGGGGCATTAGCTAAGATTTAGACAACATTTTAAAATACGATTCTTTTTGTTTTAAGTATCAATAAATGCTGTATTTTGAAATAATATTTCGTTATAAGCAGTCAGTTTGGCCAAAATTTGTCAAAATAAGCTCAAAAACATCGCTGATGTATTATTGACTTACAAGTCAATAATTTAACCTAATTGAAATGAATCCGTATTCATGTGACCTTCAATTTAACCCCTTAGGTGGAGATGGGTTACGCATGTAATAGGCGTGTTCATGCAGCTACTTAAAGGAAAAAAATGTAATTAACATTGAAGGTGAAATAAGGTGAACCATTTGGTTGACTGATTCGATCCACAAAAATCATTCTTATACAGGTAAAAACGATGGTTTACATATTTTTTTAACCTATAACATGAAATCAAACAGACCTAGAAAAATCCAATTGCACGTGCTCTCTATATATTTATATTTATATTCATGGCTGCAAGAATAGTTTTAAATGCTGATCCACTTTCAGCAGTAGCACCACTGTTTAAACAGCTTGGGTGGATGACAGTAGAGAACAGAATTTCATAACATAAATCAGTTTTGATGCACAAATGTCTTAAAAATGAAGCCCCTGTATATTTAACTGAAAAATTTAAAGAAATGCCAGAAATAAACCAATATTCTTTGATGAATACGTCTTACAAACAATTGCAAGTTCCAAAAGCCAAAACAGAGCTGTATAAGAAATCTTTTATATATTCAGGATCTGTTTTATGGAATGACTTACCAATATCCCTGAAAAAATCGACCTCAAGTACAAGTTCATTCAAAAAAAGATCTAAAAAAAACTTGTTGGAACATTAAGAAGCTGTGTAACCTTATATGCATAATAATTTTTCACACACTTACTTAAACTTTGAATATTTTTTATACAAACTTGGTGTATGTAGTCAGTCTGTAATTGTCTCATATTGTAATTTCCTTGTAGTCTCTTGTATATTATATGAAATCTTTTCTGCAATCTCATAAGTGTAAATAATTCCTGTAGTTTAAGAAGGTGGTTGTTTATTATTTTGTTATTGTCGAGTTCTATGCAAAAACTCCTTTTATAAATGTCTAGTGTCAGTGAGCAAAACATTCTAGGTCAACAACGGCAGGCTTACGAAATCTTTTGAGTTATATTTTATTTACCTATCCAAAAGACCAAAGTTTCATAATGTAAGCCTTCCATTGGTGAAATTAAAGTTTAATGATCACATCAACCTATATTTTATAGCTGTAATTTAGGTACATTATTTCTGTATGTATTGATGAGAAGTCCTGAAGTCCAAAATTTAGTTCAAGTAAACTCTCCTTATAAAGCAAATCTCAATTAAAGTCAATACAGCAACCCACATAATTGAGCATTGTACACCAGTTACCAGCTCCAAACAAAACTAAACCAAATTTAACATAAGGGATATCTGTGTGTTAACCAAAACATAATCTTTGCAAGTCATACTGGCTTAAAGTAGGAAGATATGTTAGAATAATAATGTTATTATAAACAATCAAATCAGTTTTGGCCCTTGAGTTATGGCCTCATAAAATTTTGAGTTCCTGTCTGAGCAAGTCAGCTTGCAACCTTCAGTGTGAGGAAGAAACCTGCCTGCCCGACAATGCGCCTGCCGGGGAAGTGGCGCGAGGGGTCTCCACAGAGGGGATGAGACTAGACATCTCATCTGCAGCCGGGGTGTGTAAGGTCTGCATCAGGGGATAGCCCATGTGCTGTAGAGTAGTAGTGGTCTATCAAACTGGCGCTGGAATAAATTTGATAAAATTTGTCCCCGAAATGCTTGAGGATGAATGAAATTTTAGAAATGACCAGTGATAAAATTCAATCAAGGAAATATAATATGAAAAGAAAAATAATATATATCACTAGTAAAATTGCTAAAATGTTTCCCTTTTCATGAAACATTATTGAAGGTGTTAGGAAGGGGACGGTGGGTGGTAAATTGAATAATAGCACTGTAAACTATATCAACTAGTCAGACTGCTATGGACCTAGAAAGTGATTATACAAAGACCATGCATATGGCTTCACACACAGATTCATCTTCGCAAGCCAAGGGTTACGATCCACTTCCCTCCTCTCCACCCTAGGCGGATTGAGATAGAATTTCGGAGACACAAGGTAATGATTTTCATTGGTTGCAGTCAAAATTCGCTGCATCCAATCAAAAAGCGCCTATAACATGATCACGTGTAAATGTAGAAAGTGGATGTAAACAATTGCCACGTGCTTATTGTGCAACAAGTCTTTACATCCCTAAACATACGACTATATTTAGTGACAATTTGAATGTTTTTAATCAACTAATAGAAGTTCCTGTGTATGTTTCTTGCACAAATGCATGACTGTCGACGTATGTTTTCGTTTCCTGCTTTACCAAGTGTGTAGAATCTAGACGCTACCGTGTTTTACCTCCAAATTGAAGAGTTCAAAAAGTAAAATCACAAAAATACTGAACTCCGAGGAAAATTCAATCGGAAAGTCCCTAATCACATGGCAAAATCAAATGACAAAACACATCAAACGAATGGACAACAAATGTCATATTCCTGACTTGGTACAGGCATTTTCAAATGTAGAAAATGGATTGAATCAGTAACTAATCACTATAAAACTACTATAACTATCATTTTTTTCTCTCTGGACGTAAACACAACTGTCCACTTTGTCACGTGATATAATTATTAATTCTTAATGTTAGTTATATATATTTAAAAAAAAAACAAATTGAATTCTTGGACATTATGTTAACAGCTTGACCAATCTAGACTTAATATAGATTATTATATAGATTTTTAGGAGGATTATTGAGAAAAGCTTTTCACATTTGTCTTATGTGTCTTCGTGTACACTTGTCTTAGAGTTTCTGGAACAATACTTTCTCATATTTATACACTTTATATAAAAAAAGTTTCAAACAAGTGAACTTATAAATTAAAATACTATGTTTTATTTTTATAAATATCTTTAATGTATTGCATTTGTGATAAATCACTGAATCCTCTTTAAAACTCTGGCCAGTATTTCA